CTAAGGTTCTCTAAAGGGTACATGACACAGAGAGTTTTAGGGATATTTATGTCCAAGTCCCCCTTGCAAATATACTTTTCTAAAATGAATCTATGTGAGAAGGTGAAGTTTCTCCTTTATGACCTCCCCTTTCACAATCTCCCTTCTCCAACTTTTCAGAAGAAAGGCATATCTCTCACCCTTTCCTGAATCCATTCATAGTGCATTCCCAGAAGGAGTGAAAACTTACAAGTTGCCAAGCAAGTGTAGAATTCAAAATACTGGTGCCTTTGTTGCTAAATGGAATGACTTTCGTGACAAAGTAGCAAAAGTCTTGCAAGTTAAGTGGTTTGTAAATAAATTAATAATTTATTGGATTGCTTTCATTAAAAAATTGTGATTGAGTTGTCAGCTGATGGATCAGATTGTTTTGGTGCTAGATCAGTATGCCATTTTTTGACATATAGAACTAAAAAGGAGTTTAAATAATTAAGTAAAATTACTATAAAAATATTTTTACCCCCACCTAGTTATTTATGAGAACAGTTTTCTCAGGAATTAGATTTATTTTAAAAAATTTGTAATAGCATTTATGCTGAAATTTATTCTTTCTAGTATCAATAATATCCATCTACATATCTCTGAATTATTAATTAGCAATCTTTCATCAATACTATTAAGAAATAAATTTTAATAACATTTTACTTTTTATATTTAATAATTATTTTGTAAAATATTTTATATATCTATGTGATTTTAATAAGTTATCACTTGATGGTTACCAGATAGGAGGGGCATCGGGGAGAAGGGTGAAAAAAGGGAAAGGATTAAGATGTACAAATTGCTAAGTATAAAAACAGTCACAAGGATGTAAAGTACACCACTGGAAATATAGTCAATAATATTTTAATAACTATGTATGGTGTCAGACGGGTTCTAGACTTATCAGGGTATCACTTTGTAATTTATATACATGTCTAATCACTATGTGTACACTTGAAACTAACATAATATTGTATGTCAATGGTAACCGAAATTTTTTTAAAAAAAGAATTCTAAAATAAGTTACTATTAAAATATTTAATGATAATTTAGTCCAGATTAGATTAATCTGGTCACATGAAATTTTTAAGTTTTAATGTTTATACAAATTTTTGTTGCAGAAAAGTACAATAGGCTGATGTAACAGTTTTTTAAGAATCTTTCAAGCATAACACATAACATTTAGTATAATTCTGTGGGAAAATAGAAAAAAAACATGAGATCAAGTGAAAAAAGGAAACCCCATAAAATTTCAAAGTATAATAGAGTATGTTTAGGTAATTTTTTATATGAATGATGGTAAATAAGGAAGATATGTTTTTTAAAAGTAATATTAAATTCTTAGTTTTAAATTTACACTATTAGTAATATTACTGAAGTTATATCCTCTGAAACATAATTTACAATTATGATTAAAACAATTTGGAATCTACCTAAAATTATGTGAAAGCATACATAAAATGTGGTTTTAAAAGTTTTATTTGGTGCTACTCAAGGATAAGAGTTTGTAGAGCATTGCTGTACAGAACTTTTCCCTCCATGATATATGATTTATTGCCACATAGAAAAGGCAGTAAACCTTGCATTTATGAGCTTCAGCTCTAGAAAAAAACAGGCTTGTGTTCCAACTTTAACTCTTCTTATTTGTTTGTTAATCTTTGACAAGTTACTTAACCTCCAAAAGCCCCTTTTTCCGAGTCTATATAATAGAGATAATGAAGGCACTTAATCTGTAGGATTCTTCTGAAGGTTATATGAGAGTAATCATATCAAACTCTTAGAAAAATTTCTGCACATAGTGAGTGCCAATCATAAAAGTTGTCATAGACAAGTGAGTTCAGATGGGAGGGAAGTGTTTGTTCTTACGCTAAACTCTCAGAGGGAACAGGGCTTGGTATGATCTCTTAGAATAAGCACAAAAAGCTCACAAGGAGGGAATAAATCACCAGCTGAGGGGGTAGAAGTACTGTGAGCCACATAGTATCAAATGCAAAAGTCAAGAATTTCACCTTTAAAAATAGAGGTTGAACGCAAAATAATCCTAATCGTATAAAATGTACCTAGACCCTCCCTGCACAAATCATAGTGCCTTCACTGTGTCCACCCTACTTCTTCTTCTTCTTCCTCCTCCTTCTCCTCCTATTTTATTATTATTATTATTGTTGTTGTTGTTGTTGTTGTTGTTATTTTACTCAGTGTCTGCTCACTTGATAGTTCTAAATCCTGAAATTCTATAATATGCCCTTGGCCAAAATCCTCCAACTTTGTTCCTACTTAGAATTTAATTTCCTTACTCTGATTTCTTTGTCTGGTTCTACTTATGCTTTATGCTTTGCCTGAATGGACTCAAATGATATGTTATTCTACCTCTTCCCATGGAGTGTGTGAGAGAGAACACAAAATATCAAGAGCTCCAATCTTGAAAGCTAGTTGATATGGTTTAAAATCCCAACTCTATCATTACCTCTGTAACCTTGGAAAACTCAGAACTTCTCTGAGTCTCAGTTCTCTCTTCTTTCCAATGTGGGTAATAATTTACAATTGACAGAGTTGCTATAGTTGGAGGACATATATCACAAATAGCATTTAGCACAATTAATGCAATTAATAACTCTTATTATAATTATTATTCTCACTATTTGTATTCCTGATGTAATGAATGGAACAATTTAATGAAGTTCTGATTAACTTTGAAATGAATATTTTGCAAAATCAAACACATTGTGACCTGATGTCCCCTAGACTGTTGAAGATGAATAGTAATGGGGAGGTCACAAATTTTATGATTTCTTTAGAGCCAGAAACCAAACTTAAAAATAACCACCAGAACCGGACAGCAAAGAGAGACATAACAGTTTGGAAAGATTAGCATTAAGTGTTGTTACAGACTGGTGAGAGTGACTATGCTGATTATTATAAAAAGGTCTGACTACTTTTCGGTATCTAAGGGAGAAGTAATAGACAGAAGCAACAAGAGGGAGCACAAATTTGCTCAGCCTAGTCCATCTGATTAATCAATCTCTACCCAGATAACACCATTCAATTCCTCAAAGACTTATAAAATATTCACTGGGTATTCAGAATGTAAAAAATCCTAATACCAAATGAATTTTATTATTGATTTTATTACTTTGAATTAGGCTTTCGATTATAGTTGTAAACCAAATGAGATAATCACTTAGATTTTCACTCTTTAAGGCAAACTAATTTTTTTTTCGATGTTCTTTTTTACCAACAGGATATGCTAGTCCACTTACTGGAATAGCAGATGCCTCTCAAAGCAGTCTGCATAATGCCTTGCACATGTATATGAATGGAACAATGTCTCAGGTACAGGGATCTGCCAACGATCCCATTTTTCTTCTTCACCATACATTTGTGGACAGGTTAGTAGACACTCTTAGTACATTATTGATGTTGAATGCAGTGTGACTTTAGCTATTACAAAAAAAGCTAAGGAATTATGGTCATCTGTTGTCTCAGATCAGGTTCTCCCAGAAACAGACTCTAAACTAAGAATTTGGATGCAAATGTTTTATTAAAGTGTTTTAGTAAAGAGAAACTAGTAAGAGAATGGGTAAACAGGATAAGGAGGAAGAAACCACATAAGAGTACAATTTCAGCTGAAGTCCTAGACTCGGCCAGATCTTGATAGAATACAAAGTACATCTCAATTTGTCCTGCCTTAAGACAAAGGAACTGAATTTTTGGACTCTCATATTAAACAACTGTCGGCTACAGGTTGCCCTGAGGTAAGAGTTGTACGGTTTCCAGGCACTAGCGATTCAAGACAGGCTATGTGGCTCCAGTGCCCAGGGCAAGACTTCCAAAGGTTGCAGGGCATGTAGTTAAGAGTAAAGCATGTAGAAATCAGGGAGGTGGGCACACAGAGCTGGAACAAGGGATCTAAGGCCATCTGAGCAGGACACTAATACGGTACATCATATCAATATTGTTTTCCTCTTTGTCAATGATATTGTTATTTCTTCTTTTTCAACCTCAAGGCCTCACATATAAGTAGATACAGTTTTTGATCTCAACCATTGGCCTGAGCATTATATGAGTATTTCTCCAGACAGGAAGCACTATGGCACAACCATGCTGTTTAAAGATTTAATTCTTCAGGTGCTTTTTCCTCCCTTATTAACTTTCTTCCATTACATGCAGTGTCTTAACCATATAGATTTCGGACTGAATCATAGATGACAATAGGATAGCAGAAAAGAAAGTACAAGGAAGAAGATTAGCTGTCTGTTTCTGAAATTCTTCAAAAAGAGAGGAGGAAAAAAGCATTGAATTATAGCAGATGAATCTAGAGCTCTTTTTGTCCCCTCTAAGATAATTTCCTCACAACTGTTAATGAATAAGGGCACAGATTTATACCTGCCATTAAATAATAGTGTCATTCTCATTGGAAAATATAACAGGATCTATTTTTCCTGTTTTAAAGATAAGGAAACTGAAACAGAAAATTAGAAGTTTTACTCATCTTATCACCATCTCCACCTCATTCATGTTTCTAAGAACATGAACATAATGCCAAATAAGAAAGTGAACATTAGCATGGAAGATTATTAGACAAATTTTTGTTGCCTTCATGGCAACTCTAATATTATAGGAATTAAGCAATATCCCAAGTCAACTTTTATTCAGAAATCAGTTTTAAAAGTCAGTTTTTAAGAAAGTGTAGGGTCCCATCATTGATCCCATCATGTATGGGCTCCTAGGTCCCATCATTGATCCCATCCCATTCTGCCTCCAGGGTCTCTTTGTGGACCTCACTGCATGTGGACTCATGGAATATTGCCCACTCTGCTAAGTCTGTTCCCAGATTGGGCCCTTCCCATCCCCCAGTCCAAGGAGACCATGAACACCGACTATGCAGCCTGAACCAAAACAATTAAATAAGGTCACTCTACTAAGACCAGGAGACATAGCAGCCCTACCTAATATATAGAAACAAACCAACAGGCAGCCAAAATGGGGAGACAGGAGATTAGATGAAGCAGAAGACTGACTCAGTGAGTTAGAAGATAAGGTAGTGGAAAACAATCAGAACAGCAACAAGAAAAAAAAAATCAAAAAAAATGAGGCTAGTTTAAAGGGCCCCTGGGACAACATCTAGTGTAACAATAGCTTCATTGTAGTAGTGCCAGAAGAAAAAGAGAGAGCAAGGAATTAAAAACCTATTTGGAGAAATAATGACAGAAAACTTCCCTAATCTGGTAAAGGCGATAGACATACAAACCCAGGAAGTACAGAGAGCTCCATACAAGATGAACTCGAAGAGGCCCACACCAAGATGCATCAGAATTAAAATGCCAAAGGTAAAAGACAAACAGAATTTTAAAAGCAGCATGAGAAAAGCAGTTAGTTACCTAGAAGGCAGCTCCCATAAGACTGTCAGCTGATTTCTCAACAGAAACTTTGCAGGCCAGAAGGGATTTGAATGAAATATTCAAAGTGATAAAAAGCAAGGGCCTACAACCAAGATTGCTCTACCCAGCAAAGCTGTCATTTAGAATTGAGATAAAGAACTTCTCAGACAAGAAAAGTTAAAAGAATTTATCACCACCAGTATTACAGAAAATGTTAGAGGAGCTTCTAGAAGAAGAAAGAGAAGAAGGAGAAGAAGAAGAGGAAGAGAGAGAGAAAGAAAGAGGAGGTGGTAGGGGAGAGCAAGAAGAAGGGGTAAGAAAAGAAGAAGAAAAGGTCAAAAATATGAATAATAAAATGTCAATAACTACATTTCTATCAATAATTACTTTCAATGTAAATAGATTAAATGCTCCAATCAAAAGATATGGTGGCTAAATGAATTTTTTTAAAAAAAAAACCCTTACATATATGCTGCCTATAAGAGACCTACTTCAAATCAAAAAATGCAGAGACTGAAAGTAAAGAAATGGAAAAACAGAGACAAACAAAAAGGCAGGGTAGCAAGACTTATACCAGAAAAAATAGACTTTAAAACAAAGGCTATAACAAGAGATAAAGTAGGACACAGTCATCCCACTTCTAGGTATTTATCTGAAGAAATCCAAAACACTACCTCTAAGGGACATAGCCAAGATATGGAGGCTACCTGAGTGTCCATCAATGGATGAATGGACAAAGAAGAGGTGGTACATATATAATGGAGTATTACTCAGCCACATAAAAGAATAAAATCTTTCCATCCATCACAACACGGATGGACCTAGAGGGTACTGTGCTGAGAGGACTAGGTCAGACAAAGACAAATGCCATATGATTTCACTTACACATGGAAACTAAAGAACAAAATAAACAAACAAACACAATGGAAACAAACTCATAGATACAGAGAACATTTTGAGGGTTACCAGATGGGAGGGGGATTGGAGGACTGAGTGATAAAGGTGAGAGATTAAGAAGCACAAATTAGTAGTTACAAAACACGGGAATGTAAAGTAAAGCATAAGGAATATAGTCAATAATGTAATAACTATGTATGGTGTCGGATGGGTACTAGACTTATCGGGGTGACCACTTTGTAAGCTATATAAATGTCTAATCACTATGTTGTACACTTGAAACTAATATAATATTGTATGCCAACTGTAAATGAAAAATCAAAAAATATATATTAAAAAGAAAAAATAGGTCTAAAGAACAAGGGCAAAACATATAAACAGTAACAAATATGGTAGATATTAATTCAGCTATACACATCAATAGTCCAAATACACCAACAAAAGAGAAATTATCTGATTCATTTGAAAAACAAGACCCAAGTATATGTGTCTACAAGAAATTCGCTTTAAATATAAAGACATATATAGATTAAAAGTAAAAGGATGGAGAAAAATATACCATACTAACACTAAACAAAAGAAACTAGTAGTAGCTATGCTAATTTCAGAAAGAGCAGACTTCAGGGCAAGAAAAGTTATCAGACGTAAAGAATGGCAGTATGTAATGATAAAGAGATCAATTAATTTATATTATTTTCCCAGTGTTGCCATATAAACTTCCATAAAATTGGTGGCTTAAAGCAACAGAAATTTATTCTTTCACAGGTCTGGAGGCCAGAAGTCTTGAATTCAAAGTAGGAAAGTGAAGGAATTAAGAAGTACAAATGAGTAGTTACAAAATAGTCACAGGGATGTAAAGTAAAGCATAGGAAATATCGTTGACAATATGGTAATAACTATGTATAGTGCCAGGTGGGTACTAGACTGTCAGGAGGATCACTTCGTAAATTATATAAATGTCCAACCACTATTCTGTATACCTGAAACTAATACAAAATAATATTGAATGTCCACTGTAATTCAAAAATCAAAAAAAAAGAGGTGGAAAAGTGAGGGAGAATCAGAGGTTCAAATTTCCAGGTATAAAACAAGTCCTGAGGATGCAGTGCACAGTACAGGAAATATAGTCAATAATATTGTGATAGAGTTGCATGGTATCAAATGGTTGCTGGACTTATCATACTGATCACTTTAGATATACAAATGCTGAATAACTATGGTATATACCTAAAACATACTATTGTATGTTAGCTATGTTTTAATAAAAATCTTTTTTTAAAAAGTGTATAAACTCCAAAATTATCATGGCAGTAGAACATTATAACCACCTATACTCATATATAAAAAAGGGAAGAAAAGGATTAGAAAAAAAATCTTACCAGAAAGATAGATTGAACTCTTTTTACTGAATTCTTTTTTATAGTGTATTGTCTAGTGAATTTTTAGCATTTTTTGATCTTTAGTGTCACCCCATTAACTTTAAAGAATTCTAGATTTCCTAGACACCTTGATGCCCTCTAGGCAAGGAATTAACAATCTATGGTTTATAGGCCAAATCTGTCTCCTACCTTATTTGTAAATAAGGTTTTGTTGGAACACAGCCACATTCATTTACATACTGTCTGTGGCTGCTTTCACACTACAATGCTAGAATTGAGTAGTTGTGACTGAGACCGTATGACCCACAAAGTAGAAAACATTTAATTTCTGGCCTGTTACAAAGTTTGCTGACCAGTGCCAAACCACACAATTTCATATTTATACCAGATAAGAGAAAAAAGTTGGTCTTTAGCTAGTCCACCTATACCTATGTTTATAGAAAACGCTGTAATTGAATTCAATGTCTAGAGGCATGTTTGTTTAACAGAGATAAAGCCATATGCAGGTATACGGCTTTTAGATGCCACTTTGCCACCTTTTAAAATTAAAAATCTCTTCCCTCTTAGAATTCGCTGCTAAATCTATCTTAATATTAGATAGCTGTTTGATTATTAAAATAACTAAAAACATGATCAGCAAATGGCAAAGTAATTTCTCATTTAGCCTACACGGCCAAGCTGATGAAGATTCTGGAGCTGGAGAGGAAAGCGGCATCATTATAAAGAAGGATA